CATATGCTTCCAATGAGACTGAAGAACATGGACAATGTTTGGAACGAACTTTTCCAGAACCAACTATGGAAATGAATTGCACACATTTCTTTAATTCTTCCAGCATTCCTTTGAGGGGGGCATTTCTGTCTTCAATTCATAGACACAAAAATGGGGTCTATCTTAGAGAGTAGATTTTCTGAGGGCACTACTGACAAAACAGCAGAATATCAGCTGAAAGTTTGTTGTACTTGATAAGTGCCCTCTAGTTGGTTCTGACTCATCGCAATCCTGTATGGGGTTTCCGAGGAGAGGCTGGTGAGCTTGAATCACCAACCTTGTGGTTCAAAATGACTTTGCAGTCCAGAGTATTAACCCACAGCACCACACCAGGACTCCAGCTGAAAGGCAGGAGGTACAAACCCATCAGAAATACAGGCCTGGAGACCTACTTCCAAAAGACACAGCTTCAACACTGTATGAAGCAGTTTGTCTCTGCACACATGGGGCCGCTAAGATTCAGAATCGACTTGACAGCCATCAACAATGGCCATGGCATCTTAGAGTGAGTGGATGAGTGGGCTAGGTTCCAGAGCCAGCCTGCTGCCCCCGGCACAACACTACCTCTGTGACCACCATTTCCCTCCCCAGCTTTCGGGCTGGTCTCCACTCAGTACTGACCTTAGAGTTGCTTGTTTATGTATCTGTCATTTGCCTCAGAGGCAGACTCTTGTCTTGGTCACAGGTTCATTTCCTGGACTTGGCAGAATGACTGGCATGGAGTGACAGCTTGCTTGATATGTGATGAATGAATGAGGCTCAGAGACTGTGGGGTCTTGGGACTGTCTCACAGAAACTCCGTCTCCAGTTCCTCCTCTGACATGGTTGGATTAAGCCCTACCTCTGAAGATGATTTGGGAGAATAAAATGAAATAACGTCTGAGAAGCACTGGCCGGGTGTATTTTGATGTAGTTGGCATAGCTGCTGGTTCATGTTATATTTCCATTGCTTACACAGAGTCTGGGGTGTAGTAGAAACACAGTTGATATTGTTGAAGGGTGAAAGAAGGGAGTGAGGGAGGAAGACTTACATAGTGGATGAAGTAATGGCTGATGCCCCTTACAGACATTAACTTGTCTAACTCATTTTGTCCTTCCCTGCCTGCCATACAACTCATGTTTTTAGGGTTGCAAGATTTAGCAAATTAAAATACAATATACCCAGTTAAATTTGAATTTCAGATTAATTACATAGCTATCTATCTATCTATCTATCTATCTATCTATCTATCTATCTTGTCTACCTTATCTATCTATCTATCTATCTATCTATCTATCTATCTATCTATCTATCTATCTATCTTCCTTCCTTCCTCCCTCCCTCCCTTCCTTTCTTTCTTTTTCTTTCTTTCTGTTTGTCTTGTTGTTAAGTGCTGCTGAGTCGATTCCAATGCATAGCAACCCTGTATAGGGTTTTTGAGGAGTAGCTGGTGAGTCTGAACCACCGACCTTGAGGTCAAGTGCTTATTGAATGGCACCACACCAGAACTCTCTCTATATATTTGTATGAGTGTGGTCCATGCAATATGTGGGACATATTTACACTAAAACCTTATTTGTTTTGTAACAAATGAATCTTCAAATTAACAGTGTGTAGGGCTGCCAGATAAACTATGTAGTTAAATTTGAATTTCAGATGAACAACAAATAAAGTTTCAGTGTAAATATGTCCCAAATATTGCATGGACCATACTTACACAACTATATACGTATAATATATATATATATATATATAGTGTTAGTTAGTGTTGGTTGTATGCTTCTGAGTCTGTTCTGACTCATAATGACCTTGAATAGGGTTCCCAGGCTGTAAATATTTACGAGAGCAGAAAGCCTCATCTTTCTCTTGGGGAGCAACTTGTAGATCTGAACTACTGACCTTGCAGTTAACAGTCCAGCTGGTAATCTACTATGCTACCGGGGTTCCTTACAGTATATATAACATGTATACTATTGTTTTGTTGTTAAGTGTGATCAAGTCAGTTCTGACTCATAGCAACCCTATACAGGATTTCCGAGGCTGCAAATCTTTACGGGAGCAGAAAGCCTCATCTTTCTCCCACGGAACAGCTGGTAGTTTTGAACTGCTGACCTTGAGGCTCGCAGCCCGATTCGTAACCACTACGCTACCAGAGCTCCTTACATATCATACCATATCTATAGTTCTAGTTAGTAAATGTCGTTGAGTCAATTCCAACCCAGAGTGACCCTGTAGGGTTTCCAAGGAGCAACTGGTGAGTTTGAACTTTCGACCTTATGGTTTAAATCAACCTTTCGATAGAGTGCTTTTCGTACAGCGCCACACCAGGACTCCTACATATATAATGATGGTTGTGTGCCGTGGAGTCAGTTCCGACTCATAGCAACCCTGCATAGGGTTTCCGAGGCTGTAAGTCTTTAGGAGAACAGAAAACCTCATGATTCTCCCAGGGAATGGCTGTAGTTTCGAACTGCTGACCTTGAGGTTAGCAACCCAACTCATAACCACTATGCTACCAGAGTTCCATATATATATATATATATATATATATATATAATTTGCTGTTAAGTGCTGTTGAGTCGGTTTCGACTCATAGCGACCCTCTATAGGATTTCTAAGGCGCTCAGAATTGACTGGTAAGTTAGAACCCCCGACCTTTCAGTTCAAACCGACCCTGTGGTCCAGTGTTTATCCTACAGCACCACTCCAGGACTCATGTGTATACCGTCTCTCAGAATCACTGCCCGATATTTATTTAGATACAGATGGAGTATGGGGGTCACTTGAATGCTAACTAACACTGTAACCCTGAGTGTGCAGATCTGAAATATTTACTCTGCACATCTGTAGAGAGATACCAGAAGAGCTACATTATCTATGTATTAAAGACTTTTGTAAGTTTTGTGTCTGTTTTGCCCCCCAAAATTAGTGGGTTGCTTGTGTTTCCTCCGAAAGGACATGGAAAGTTTCAGGCTTTGACTTGAGGAGGGTTACATCTCCCTTTTCTCATTGACATATCACAATGGTTTGGCACTGATATTGATTTAAAAAAATAAAGGATTACAGACCTAACAGGTGGAAAATTGGTCTTTATTGCAACACAAATAAACATTCCCTATTTGTCCTCTTCAGCACGGTTAGGAACCATCGTTCTAGAATCTGAAACGTCTCTTTTGGTTCTCTATGTCCACCTTGTTCGTTTTTTGTTTGTTTTTGTTTTTAGGATCAGAAAAGCATAATAGCAAGTTACATAAATGTAAAATGTTATATAGCAAATAAATAGAACATCGAGGGGCCCCAAGCTCACAGATAGGTTCAATAGATTTACTTCGGCTTGTCTTTCAATCGTAAGAGCTGAACAAATCATGCTTGGAAAGCAAGAGATGAAACTGCAGTAACACATTTTAATTATCATGATAAAAACATGCAAACAAAAGAAAGAGGGTCATCTCCATTTGGGCCCAAGGCTCCCGCTTCTTCCCAACCCATCATCAAAAGCCCTTAGATCTTCTCACACAAGGGAATGTCCCAGATCAGACATTTTCACTTTTTATTTAATTTCACCACCGTCACGCACTGGGTAAATCTCCCTACCTGATGGGAGGTGAGCCCACTATCACTCTCTACCTGGAACCAGAGGCTCTGGCTTATAAGCCTTTGTGATTTGCTTTGAAAATCTCCTACTTCAAAACAAATGCTCTGACACTAGGGCTTGCTGGGGAAATGCTTATCAGCTGCTCATACTGTGAATTCATCCAAGGTTCTCATCTGTAACCTGGACATAAACCTGGACTGCTCATTGCAGAAGATTGAGTTCAGGTTGGGTCTCCACCTCGGGGTGTGGTCTGAGGTGGAAGACAAACCAGAAGGTGTGTGAGCGTCCCTGGTATGTGGGGGTATCATGCTGGAGAGGAGAGAAGAGGAAAGAGAGAAAATACAAAAAGGAGCTGAGAGAGATTCGGTAAGATCTAGCTTTGCTTCTGCTCCACATTGGAAATGAATGGCTGGTCTGATCATTCTGCCTAGGACATTTGACCTTAGCCTCTGTCCTCTTTTCTGGGGCTGATGTAAGTGATCTGGATACAGGTGACAAGACAGGTGTAGAACTTCTATGATACAAGGCGACAATGATCTTGAGACTGAGGTCTCCTGTGTGTATCCGCACATAGATATTCAGAAAACCATTTGCTTCTTTATGTGGAATACCATCACAAAGGCATGCGCGGCAGTTCTCTTTGTTAAGAGGGGACTCTTGATATTAGTCTATGTGAAAACCAAAATATGAGAGGAGAAAATGAGCTCCCGCTCTTTTCATTTCAGTGTTCTGCAGAGAAGAATATATATATATATATATATTGTTTTTCTGTAATTCCCTTACAGGGAATTTACTGTAAGATATAAACAAAGGGTGAGGGGTGAAAGGAGGTTGCAAAAAGCATTCATTACAAGTAATAATAATAAAGACAACATTAAGCTATTCATGAGCTGGTTAAACAAATCTCTGTATATGACTGTTGGTAATAATCTCCAATCTATGTTCTGGTGTTTACCTGGTTATCACTTTTTAAGCCATTAACGTTGCTGTGGGAAGGTGGGCTGGTGAAGTGGAATGGGGAGAGAAGTTACTATCTAGTCATTAAAATGAGGTGAAACCTTGGTTGAGTGGACCTTGGAGGTTGGGCCTGGGACAATTAGGGGAATATGTATCTTGAAGGCCTAGAAGAAGCAGTAACCTATGAACTTGGTCTGTCTAAGCCCATTGGATTCTACTCCCCCAACTGTAAACTGGAGAAGTGGAGGGGATCGCTAAGGACTTGCTTCTCATGTTCTGGTCTGTCATAAAAATAAGTCCTATTCCAGCAAATTACTGTCCTGTTTGGTAGTGGGAGACGTCAGGTGCCTGTAAGCAGACACGTCTCCCTTGGAGAAGCGCCTCACAAGGCCACTGTCCCAGTCACCTGGGAGCAAACCCATACCTGCAGGGCTATTCTTCATCCACGTCTGTTACAAACTGGGAATGGTGTTCGGGTGACTTGCTGTGAGTTTTGCTTAGGTGGAGTTTGACTGCGTGTTTGCTCACAAATGTCCGACAACACAACTTACACTTGAATTTAGAGTCTGTATCCTCTTCGCCAGCAATTGTTTCCGGAGACCTTTGAGCCGATGACACCCGGGAGACGTCTTGCTCGACTTTGCTTTGCTGTTCCACGGCCATGCGGTTCATGTCCTTCATTTGGAAACCTAGGTGAGATTCTAAGTGGCTGATGTAGGTAGGAGGGGTTCTAAACTGGGAGGCACAGTCACTACAATAAAAGATGGGGTGTCCTTTGTCCATGTTTTTCAGAAATTTTGTCCCACCTGTTTTCCTAAGTTGGTATTTGACATTGGCCAGCCAGTGGCTAATGGTGGTCATGGAGAGTCCAGTAAACTTTGAGATTTGCATACGTTCTTGGGGGCCCAAGTCAGACAACAGGTACTTGCCTTCTGACGTCTGGAAGAGGCTCGAGGCAAACTGAGCTTGCAAGATGAGGAGATGCTGAGGGTTCCAGTTGGACTGCCTGCCTTTTCTTTTATGCAAAGTTGAGACTTCGCTGGACACATCCTCAAAGCGCCTGACATCCATTTCCAACTTCATTGGAGGGACCCTGGAGGAGACGGGGGGCTTTGGGGTGGTTGCTTTTGGGAGGACTTTGACCATGTCGGCGATGTCAGACAGAGCGTGCTTCTGAGGTGGAGATGTGCAGGATTGTGCTTGCGAGGACTCTGCTTTCTTAGTTTTGGACTTGGTGAGGTCAATGGGCTGGTCATTGTTCTCAAACAGGTAGCGCCTGGACATACTGGCTGGCCTGGAGGAGGCAGGACTCAATGCCGGCTTGTCCATGGCATTGAGATTTGACTTGTGAAACATGGAAATTGTGCTTGAGCTGGGGCTGGAACAGGAAGGAGAGCGCAGAGGCTCTGTGGCTTTGCCCAGGTGGTTGTTCAAGACGGACTGCAGGGCACTGAGTGGGTTGATGCAGGGCAGGGCCGAAGTGTGGTTGGTGAGGGCGCAGCCATTGCTAAGAGATGTGGACTCCAAGAGCTGCAGTTTCTCCTTCTCACCGCCCTCTTTCATCAGCTTGTCCTCCTCCTTTTGGGGACACGGTTCAGTCTTTTTGGACTCTGAAGGGGGCTCACTCTTGGTGAAAGTTTCCGCTTCACAGTGGCTAATAGACGATGCTTCTTCGTGGGGACTTTCCTTCCCACAGTCCTTCAAGACTTCGTCTTTGTCTCCCAGCTCCTTCTTCACTTGAGCACATGGAGCCAGGTTTGTGGGCACAGAGACAAGTGGCATGACCTTCCACTTTGGTGCAATTGGCCTTAACTTGTTGGTGAGATTAGGTCGAATCTGCAGGACTTGGGAGCCCATCGGCAAAGAGGGCTTGGTGGTTTCTGACAGCTGGTAGGCGGCGTGGATGCTTGGGTACGCACTCCAGCTCGGAGCTCCATTTTGAGCTTTGTTGATGGCTGTGGTGACGGTATTTTCCAATGACTTCAAAATGTCCCCTCCACCTTTTGAGCCATCTTCTAAATCTTCCTCCCTTAGATATTGATACTTTATTGTAGGGTCTAAGGGTTTTTGCAGAGAATCTTCGTATTCCTCGCTTTTCACAACATTCTTATCCTTGTTTGCCTCCTCGGACTTTTCTTTTTTACTCTCCTTCTTCACCTCCGTTGTGGAGGTGGTGCAGTCTAGAACAGAGTTACTTGACGGCTTGGGAGCCCCAGAATCACTGTTTGGAGGATCACATAAGGATTGCATCTTCTCTACCGCCAGCGGGTCTAATACCAGCTGCTTCCCTTTCTTGGAGGCCGAGCTGGTGACTTTCAGAAAGTGGCCAGTGACCATCATATGGGTGGTGAGTTGCTGCAGGGTGTCATGGGAACTCCCACACTCCATACACTTTAGGATCTGAGACTTACAGGCCTCAAACTGCCAGGTGTAGCTGGCACCATTTTGGTAGCCGTAACGATTGTTGGAAGAGAGCTGCAAGTTGGTGTTTTTCTGAGCAGAAAACGAATCAGCAAAGGACCCTGTGGTTGAATCAGGGGAGCATGGTCGATTGACATCAAAAACACGTTTCTTGGCCGGGGTGACCATTTTTGACGAAATGGTTGGTACGGGCTCCTTCAAAGGCACTTTTTGGTAATGTTTTGTTTTGATCATGTGGACACTCAAGTCTTGGAGGGAATCAAAGGAGTCGCCACAAAACATACATTTCAGAACCTTTTGTGCATCCTCCTTGTCCATGTCCTGGAATGCCCTTTTCCGGGGTTTTGAGTAACTTGTGGGTCTCAGCTTGTCCTTTTTGCGGTTGTCATCTTGATAGTGACCGGTTTCATTCATGTGCACGGTCAATTCAACTAACGTGTCATACGCAGCACTGCATTGCCGGCACCGGAATCTGCTGGCCCCTGTGAAAACAGTTCCACACATCTTACTATTCTGCCGGTACAACTGGACCGAGCTGAACAGGCTGGGCTTAGAGACAGATCGGGAAGGCAAATTCTGCTGCAAGCTTTTGGACAGAGCATCTTGGTGCCAATCAAAATCACTCTTGTTGCTGCCATTTCGGGTGTCACAATTCCGCCTCTCGCTACTGGACAGCTTGAAGCCAAGGCCCAAGCCTGACCAATAGGAGTCGGACAAGATGTTGGCATAGACAGCGGTCATTTTATCCATGCAGTTGTGCGTTTCCTTCGGAAGTTTGGGATGAACATTTGCTTTCTTGTCGGAGGCATCTCGGCCACAGATGCTCTTGATGTCCGACACCTGGTCGCTGGCATCGCTGAGCAGGGATTCATTCTCGGCATCCTGGTTGGACAAATGGCTTCTGGGAGAATTCTGGTAGCTGAAGCAGCCTTTCTGCTCTGGGCCAGTTTCTAGCTCCTCGTCTGTCCCTGTGTCATTGCTTCCCTGAAGTTGAGCCACTGAACTATTGTCTTCCTCCTCCTCCTCTTCCTCTTTGATTTCCTCCTCTTCCTTCAGCTGTTCCTCTTGGGCATAGCCTGCAAGAAAAGAAGAGATGCAATAACAGTAGCAGGTCACATAATCCATGGCACTAAGTGCTTCCCATACCCAACTGCATACCAATTTAATCTATACCTTTTATGAACGCTGAGCATTAGAAAGAGGAAAAAGCCAAATGATATTTTTATGCTTTTTACTGCCTTTCTTTCTTTCTTTCTTCTTTTTTTTTTTTTTTTTCTCACTCTTTTAAATTGGCAGGACTCATAATTCTTTATAAATGCCCAGAATCCCAAGATAATAATCTTCATGTTTAAGGAATATCTCTCTAATCTTCCTGTAATGGGACCGACATTACATTCATGTGTCTGATTTCCAGGAAAGCTGGATTGAAATTTAAATTCCCATTAAAATCACATCTCTGTGGGGATGGAGGTTGGTTAATAAGGAAACCAAGACTTGACCCTTGGCATCTCGATGGTGAGATTTTCTAAGACACTTGGATATATTGGCATATAATCATCTAATAAATCAGTCCTGAGTACTCAAAAGTAATTTGGATGCACGACCAGTATATTTTTGATAGCCACCGTCTTTTTGTTATAACATTTTTATTTGTAGAGAGTTGCACGGTGGGAAGAGAGATTATGGAGGATGTGAATAGAATCTTTCATTGAGAGCTGAAAAATTATGTAAGCTCAGCAAATACAATGATTTAAAAATAATAGCAAATGGTGTTAGAATGGGATATTTGGGGACTATCCTATTATTCTCAAACGGGTTTATGAAGACCTCTCTAGACAAGGCTGGCAATGGCCTCTCGATCTTGGGCCTGTAATTTCAAATGCACTGTGATTTGTAGGTTCCCGTCATGAGATGCCAATTATACGTTTGATTTGTAGATGCAAAATGCTGTTGGGGAATGCATGCTTGCCCTTCTCTGAAAGGATTTAGGAGCTATAATTGCATAGGGAAAATGAAGGCATGAGAGAGCAGTGCAAAGGGAATTAATGGGCAAATATCCATCAACGGCAATAGGAGACGTGACTTCTTACACCCATGGGTTTGTTTTCTTTACCTGGCCTTTCAGGACGATGTGGCTAAAAGGCAACTAAAGATGAGAGAAGCAAAGGAGAGTCTGCCTTACTTTTGCATCTCAATGCAATCTTTTCCTTATCAGTTTCTGTCTCAGCATAGAGTACCATGGAGGCTCATGCCCATTCATCAAGGGTGAAGTTTGGAAAAGGAATGCTGAATCCTGAGAGGCAGGCAGAAGACATTAGAAGAGCTGGCGCTTGGTTAGGAGATACAGCTTGGTTAGGATACTCTACAGGCGTATGGCAAAGATGACGATGAAGGACATTTATTGAGCAATTATTATGCCATGGAGTCCCGGGGTGGTGCAAATGGGCAATGCACTCATCTGCTAACCAATAGATTGGCAGTTCAAGCCCACCCAGAGTTTCCTTGAAAGAAAGGACTGGTGACCTGCTTCTGAAATATCAGCCCTTGGAAGAGCTATGGAGCACAGTTCTGCTAGGACACACATGAAGTCACCTGGAGTCAGGTAAGTTAGGACTGACTCACTGGCAACTGGTTTACTATGTACTGGCAACGATGTCATCACTGTAAAAACAGTCTTTTATTTCACTCTAATATTCATACAAAGTAGGTGCTATTTTTTCCATCTCACAGATGGAGAAACTAAGGCTTCCAAGTTAAGACACATGCCCAAGGTCACACACAGGGATTTCAAGGTTGTGATACGAACCCAGATCTGTTTGATGACAGAATCCATGGTCTTAACTAGTAGACACCAATCTTTATTTCCAGCCTAATGAATAAGAACACTCTGCAGAGATCCAAAGGCTAAAAGTTAGGTGGTGGAATTTCATTGAAAATGCCACTCAATAGATAACTATCTTGGAGGGAAGAATCGTGTGAAACGCGAAGACATATATCCAAGATTTTAAGGGCACAGTTCAAGCCAAACAAGGTGAAAATGTGAAAATGTGGTCTCATCACTAGTTTTGTGGTTGTGTGGGTTATGAGTTGCTGGTATTGTTTTTGTTTTTCTGTCTTCACATCAGTTGACAACTGATGTTTCATTAAACTAGTACACTGTTTGTCTCTAGTCTCATGAACTGATTCCAAGAAACAAAAACTGCTCAACCTAGCCAAGCAACCATCATTTGTTGTTGTCAAGTGACATTGCGTAGATGGTCACTCCTTAGGAGACAAGCCAAGATTGAAAGAACTGAATGACTACATTGGACATCTCACTTTCCAATCCCCATCATACTTCCTCTTTCTTGGACTAATTTGTATGGTTGCAAAAATTGTCACACCGTATGCTCAAAGAGAAAGTCTATGTTATAAAATTAAGGAATGTGTTCTGACAGAGCCAAGCAAAAGGCTCCAAAGGATCAGGTAAAATGTATCAATCAATCAAACAGGGTCACTTTTGAGAAAGAAATGGGTGCTGTTAGCCCTGATGTGGCACTGAAGGAAAAGCATTTGACTGCTAACTGCAGAGTTGGCAGATCAAACTCACCAGCCACTCCTGGGAAGCTCTATATAAGGTTGCTAAGAGTCAGAACTGACTCGATGGCACTAAATGACAATGACAACATATATACGGGGACAACAGACAGTACCCAGCTTTTTCTAGGCTCATGAAGACATGTAGTTACTTTAACTATGGATAATAGGGGCCTCAGAGAGTATGGATGGATAAGTACATACACACACCCAGACTGAAGAAATTCACAAGGAGAAAAAAGAATGCATTCTATAACCATAGTTCGTTAAGGATGTTGTTTCAGCCAGGTCTGTTTGATGATAGACGCTATGGTCTTAATGATCAATATCATCATGGTGGCTAAGCGCGGTCAGCTAAGTGCGGTCAGCTAGCCTTAGGAGACAAGCCGAGTTTAAAGAACTGAATGGCTTTGTATTTTTAACTCATTTTAGTATTTTAAGTGCCTAGGAGAGTGTCTCCTGGTGTGGTGCCATAGGGTAAGCACTGGACTGCGACCACAAGGTCAGCAGTTCAAACCCACCAGCTCCTCCTTGGAAAGCCTCTATAGCAGGGGTGGGGAACATCTGGCCCACGGGTCATATTATTGTTGTTAAGTGCCGTTGGGTTGTTTACAACCCATAGTGACCCTGTACAGGGTGAGCTTGAACCACAAACCTGTTGTTCACACTAACTTTGCAGTCCAGTACATTAACCCATAGCACCACACCAGGACTCCAATGTCCATGAAATGATTTGATCTGGCTCTGCCAAGACACCTGCAGTTCCAGCCATCACATTGTTTTATTGTTAAGTGTTATAGAGTCAATTCAGACTCATAGTGATGTTGTAGAGGGTATTGTTGTTGTTGGTAAGTTCCATTTAGTGGGTTCCAACATATAACAACCCTGTATAACGTTTCCGAGGAGCAGCTGGTGGGTTTGAAGTGCCGACGATGTGGTTCACAGTCCAATGCTGATCCTACAGCACTACACCAAGAGTCTTATGGGGTGTTGTTGTTGTTAAGTGCCGTTGAGTTGGTTCAGACTCAGCGACCCTGTACGGGGTTTCTGAGGAGCTGCTGGTGAGCTTGAACCACCGACAATTCAGTTCAAACCCATCTTGCAGTCCATTGCATGAACCCGCAATGTCACACCAGGGGTATTAGGGGTGAGTGAACTAAATGTTTGACCAAATATAGCAGGCTAATTTTTCAGTTGATAATTTTGTATGGCCCAGGAAAGTTATTAAAAACTTTGGCAGAAGAAAGGTTCCCACCCCTGCTATACAGGGTCACTCCGAGTCAGAACCAACTTGTGGGCACTTAACAACAACTAGTATAGTGTCTCGTACTTGGAAGGAGAGTAGAAATTGCTTTATGTTGTTTTGTGTGCACATTGATGAGCTACACATGATGTTGTGTGGGTGTGGTGAGGAAACTCACATCCACACAGTCGTTTTCACACAAGGAGAAAAGAAGTCTTTCTTTTCCTACCAACATTTGGAAGCCGAGCTTTCCAGACCAGCTCAACCTCAAAATCCACTTTGTCCTTAGAAATGGATTCCTCAGAAAGAAGTCAGAGACAGCCAATGCCTCCCCCAGAATACAGATAAAATTTTCTGCTTAATTAGACATTGACATGTTTACTATAACCTTTACAGAAGAGTAACGCATGCTGAGAGACCCCTTTTGTCTGTTTCTCTCCACAGAACAGACCAAATCTCATGCACACGATCAGGTAGCGCTTTGAAAAGCCTCATTAAAAAAAAAAAAAATTGGCAAGGCAATCGTCATAGGGGGTGTATTTTTACCATGGCAGAGGGGTCCAAGGAGTTTTTAAGAATGCATTGTGATATTATACGTTAAAAATCATTCGCCTGACTTCAGTAATTCAGTTTGCCACTGGCAGTCGAGGTGAGAGAGGGAGAGCAGCCCGCAGTATTTGTCTCTCTCGCTGTCAATGATTTGTTTAATAGGATTGCCTCCAATGCAAATCTTGGTACCAGTGAGTGAATAGCAAGTTTATTCTGACAAATAGTTAACAAAGAAAACATTCACAATTATGCTAAGGCATAATAAAGAAATATTCTCTTAAGGATTGCCTTGTTGATTTTAGGTTGAAGACCAAACTTCCTAGTGATAAACATCTCTGTCCCTCCAATCTAAATGTCTAGTCTCATCCCATACCAATGTCTGATTCTGGCCACATGATACTCCCTTGTTCCCAGCACAGCCAATTCATCCGCAAAGCCTGTCATCTTTGTCTACATGACAGATCGGAGACACTATTTCTCTTCCACATGGAAGGGCAACTAAATGGGCTTCCTGTTTTCACTCCCTCACGTCAGAAAACTGCTAGAATATTCTTTGTAAGAGATATGAGGGCATGGCATGCCTCCATTTTAACTCTTCTAAGTGCCTTTTTCTGCTGCATTTGGAACAACATTCAAACCCTTACATGATCTATAAAGAGCCCTGGTGGTAAAAAACTTAGACAGTCGGCTGCTAACGGAAAGATTGGCAGTTCAAACCTACCCAGAGCGTCCACAGGAGAAAGAGCTAGTCATCTAATTCCATAGAGAGTGCAGCCTAAGAACGCTATGAGACAGTTGTGTTCTTTCATATGGGGCTAATTTGACTCAAAATTGACTCAATACCACACAACAACAACACAACAACAACAAAGCATGTTCTACAGGAGTCCTTGGGTAGGACAAATGGTAAAGTGCTAGACTACTAAATCAAGAGTTGCAGGAGCAAACCCACCCAGAAGGACCTTGGAAGGAAGATCTGGGGATCTGCTTCTAAAAGGTGACAGCCATGAAAACGCTATGGAGTACAGTTCTACTCTGGCACTGACTCTGTGACAATTGGTTTGGTGTTTTTATTTGTTTAGTTTGGATTTTTTTAGCCTGGTCTGTAAGAGGTTGACCCCAATGAGATGGATTGGCAGCAGCAATGGGCTCAAACTTAACAACACTCGTGAGGGTAGGGCAGTGTTTCATTCTGTTATGCATAAAGTCACTATGCATCGTCACAGACTTGATGGCACGGAACAACAAGAGTCTGTAGGAGTTGGCCTCAGTTTACCTCCTCTGCTGCACCACACAGCTTTCTCCCTCCAATCCCATGCTCAGCCCTCTTGTTCCCCTTGAGACTGCTAGTCTTTCTCTTGTTTGTGGTTCTCTGCAGTTGCTGGCTTCACGACTTGGAAAGCTCTTCCTCTGATGCCCATATTCCTCAGGACGCCAGATCCTTCTCGAAGCTCCTGGTGCTCTCTGCATAGCTATTCATCACGTCACCTTACTCACTGGAATCTCTTCGACTACTTTCCATAATCTCAAATAGTCTGTTTCTTGTTTGATGATCTCCCCCATTAAATGTCCCCATGAAGGCACATCCTGGCCCAAATGAATGCCCTCAGATTATTTGAATGAATGAATGCATGGAGAGTCCGACAATGAAAGGGAATTGATCCTGTTGCAAATTCTAGCTCCACTTCTCAGTAGGGTAATGGGCACCCGTGGTGGGTAAAGAGCCCTGGATGAATCCGGTGTGAATTACAACTCTCCAGATGGAGGAGGCGCAATAATAAAATGAGAAACCAGTGGCTCTCACGTTCACCCTGACTCGTGCAGACTCCATCACTTTCAGAGTAGAACTGTGCTCCACAGGGTTCTCAGCGGCTGATTTTGCAGGCATCCATCTCCAGATCTTTCTTCTGAGGTACTTCTGGGTAGATCTTTGCCTTCTGGTTTAGCAGCTGAGCATGTTAACCATTCCCACCACCCAGGGACTTTATTATATGTAATTCTTCTAACCATCTTAGGAAGTTGGCACTACTTTTATTTCCAGTTTATGATGAGCAACCATTTTTTTTTTCAGAGCAGCTGTATTTCTGGAAATCACTGAGCTGTGAGTTTAAATTTTTAAGTATGAAGACTGCAAATAAGCTTACAGATGGCAGAGCACCCGAAGATTTGCTCTTAAAATGAATGGACTTATGTTTTAAATAAATTCATGCAAGGGAACGTCAAAAGAATGGACTAATTTTGTCATGAACGAAGTCCATTAGCTCTTCCATGATACATGTTGCTTAACCGCTGGGTAGAGACAGCTCCTCGGTTTTTGATAAAAATAAAAAATGTCACTGAAGAAATATATGATAAATGCTGTAAACTTTTTACCCTAACAGAATACATTTATGATCTGGGTAAAATTTGAAATACATCCTGAAGTTTTAGAAGATTTCCTGTAAGTTAAAAGTTTAAAAATGTAT